CTTCCTAGCACAACTAGATCGCAATAGCACTTTTCGTTGTAAGTATCTATGACACATGCAGACATATACATACAGACGATACGTACAGATGTACATACAGAACGCGTGGTACAGGCGTACACCGAAACTCATTTTACGTTTACGTGTCTAGACATGGAGAACAAACAATTTCCGAAAGTTAGGGCGCTCTAATCAGCTAGGTATGATTGCAGCGGCAAGCTTCACGCATCGCTACATGGGTTTGAAGTATTTTTCCAGCATTTAGTGTAGCTTTTTGGAATCCACTATATTCGCTATTGATAAAAATTAGCGATCTGAAGCTGATGTGTGGGCTCATTGAATTTATTCCATTCTATATTTTCTCAGAGACAAGATTGGTAGCTTTTTCAGTTTCTTTTCGTGCTGCACTGTTTCTGTTTGTCTCTTTCTGGCTCAGAGCACTACTTTCTGTAAATTTTTGATGTTATATGTTATTAGTTTCACTAACGTTTATTTTAGAATCTCATCAGCACATTCAAAAAACGTACGCGCCCGCAGCGCGCTTGGAAGGGTGATATCGCCGTCGAGCGCAAGTACACTCGTTTATCCGAAAGCTCGAGGTTTCGTAAATGGAAATCCCAGCTAGCCATAACTTCCGAAGCATCATCCAACCATGTGCCGCAACTGAATAATTTCGCACTTCATTTGTTTGCTTTGCATTTTCTTCGTCAGCAGCACCCGTCTCATCCCTGCCAGCATTTGTCATTTACCCCATTTAGTGCTTCTGTACAAAAAGGTACTTTAACGATCAAGGGTTGCAATGTTTTTCCGGAATCTTCGAGAAGTACAAACAGTCACATTCTGCAACCATTTGCTAACTCTGGTATTTCTGCTGCATTGCGTACTCCTCTGGGCGGCTCATCCTATAAACATTTCTATTCCGCAACATTGGCTAATAACGAATGCAGAGCTAAAGATTTTTGCGAAGAAGCAAACAAAAGTAGCCCAGGCGTAATCACGCTGCACAGACTAGAAGCTGAAATATTTGCTATTGGTGATGATCGTCAACGTCAGGACCTGCTAGAAAGCATGAAAGTTAAAGCCAAGAAACTTGAGAACAAGGATCGAAGTAGGTCTGAGCAAGAAAACTGGCATATAAATCGCGCATGGAATCCATGTCATGGTCATATTTACGATGATGTCAAGAACTGTGTCATCATTAATGAAGTTGGACAGCTGCAACAGAGCCAGATTTGTAATACAGCACCCGAACCACATCCTGCTCGAAGTTTATTTCTGGAAAGGAACCGACTACGGAGCAGAATTCCTGTACTTATGACAAGGTTGTGTCCTTTTTCTTCAAAGTTGTAGTTATCTA